CTAATTTTTTTCACAACTTTTCTTACCAATCTCTCCCAATACCCCTAAACCGTCTCTTCCGTTCCCTAGCACTTCATAAGTGTTAGAGGCAAGTCTTGGAGCGCCATAAGGCTCTGAGAAGAAAAGCTTACGGCTTAGAAGTTCTGCCCGAGCAGAGTCCGGTTCTTCGTTAAACCCCCTTGTAAGTAAGTTATGTTTACCCTACTTTAAGTATAACTTATGTTTAAGTTCATTATCGTTATTATGAACCTATAAACAAGATTTATTAGTGATTCAAAGTCATTATACTGATTGATCTACTTACGAGATGATGTTTTGGTTGTGATTTAGTGAGGTGTTTAATGTGAGATTTCCAAACAGTATACTACGTATACTAAATGGACCATACCTTCGATATGATCCTACCTGGTTGTCCCTTAGATCATGAAGTAGGCTTTGAGTTAATGATGAATGTAGACTAATAATTAGTCGTAATAAATACTAGACTAAAATCTAGTAATGATATTACTAGGTTTCATCGAAGGGGAAAAAAATTATTAAGAGCGAAGTGTTGCCCAAATTTAGAGTCATTTCTTTAACAAGTGAGTGCATAGTTACTTTCATCTTACACATATATATGAACTATTTAATATAAATTACGTGCTTTGTGTTCATATTATCTGTTTTCTTGATATCTATGTTGGATGAATGAAATATACGTGTTTTATTCGATTTAAAGTATATATGTATTTTATACTTATAATTATGATGGGTAAAGATGGGTAGATGAAATAGATGATGAAATAAATGATGAGAGGCCTCGATGTTGAAAGCTTATTCAGTCATCTAGCGGAGTATAGATGACAACCACAAACTTTTCTAGACAGTCTAGTGTAACGCTAGCAGGCTCGCAACTTGTAGGTGTTTTTGAACTACATGTTCACCAGGTGTACTCCAACCCCCATGGTTGCCTTTTTGACATATATTGTTGAGGAATCCCTTACGCAGTGTTGTCATCCCGATGAAAATCCTTAGGATAGGTCCCTTAATTTAGATGCTTTAGGGACAGAAAGTCAGGATAACGAGAATGGGTAATCGGGTTGATTGATTTGATAAAATCAATAAACTTAATTTTTGTAGGTTAAAAGCCCTATGTGCTCACCAGTTTCTTGTATTACATGTGGTGGCAAAATAGCACAGGAGTGTTGATCTTATCAGAGATCTATGAATTATAGGTCATTAGAATAATAGATGTTGTAAGGCATGTACTATTTCTATTTATGCTTATGTATTGTATTGACAATGACATCCCAACGTTTTTAATATAATGAAAACACAATTTTTCGGAAATGTTTTGATAATTTACTTATCATATTTTTGGGAACAAATTCAGCAACATTATTCTTCAAAAATGGTACTCTGATTTTTAAATAAAGCATAAACAAACCGGTCTTTTCTAGCCATGAAATTGGGGATGTCACACAATGTTATAGAATCAATATGCGCGGATCGAAGAAATGTGTAATTAAGGTTAAAATGTCTTATAAATATTTATGATGTATTGTTGGATAACAGTTGATTTTGCAGGTTATTTATTACGGATTGATATCATAATAAAGATTGATATCATAATAACATTGTGGGATTGAGAACACTGTGTATCTCACTAGGTTTCCCAATCTAACTCACTCATTGTATATGCATCACAGGTAGTGGTATTAAGATTATTGAAGACTTGAATAGGATGCTGAGAGATTGAAGAGAATACCTGCAATAGTATTCAGGACCTTTAGGTCTTTACGTTATAACTTATGCACTGTATTGATTATGGCATCCTTAGTTTGAGACAATCATTTGTACTCAAAATATTTTAATATACTTGGATTTTCTGCAAGCCAAGATATTATGATTTTTAAAGCGTAAAGATTTTTTTGGTTCTGGAAAATAAGGGATGTCATAATAATCCTTCAACATATTGGCTAATTTTGGTTGTCTCATCCGGTCCTAGCCTTCTCGTAAAGCTCAAGAGTTTATGAAACTTGTATTATATTATATTATTGATCTTTTCCCCTTTTCAAATCAAGAAACTCTCTCATGTTGGAGTATATATTTTGCCATAAAAAATCTCACCTTAACAATAAATATTCCCAAGTTAATCTTTCAATGAAATGAGCCTTCAATGTTTGCTTGAGTTTGATTCATCATTACAAATCTTGATTTTTTGATCTTGCCTACTACAAAGTTAGTTATTTGTTCCTCTTTTCATTGATATGCATAAAATGTCATTTTCATATTTATAGTTCAATTATGCACAACAATTTGATCTAAAGTTCCATTATAGCATGGTGGTTGATACATGTTTAAATTTTTGTAATTGCAATGTATTTTTATAACCTTCGCCCCCCCCCCCCCCCCCCCTGGAAAACTTCCATATAGTAGCTCGTTCCCCATGCTCCTATAAGACATACCAAAATTTCCCTTGCTTGCTTTATTTACCATGTTCGTGGTGTCTCACTTATCACTATGCTTACTTCATTCTTTATTATTCTCTTGCACCTTGAGAATCTCTTGGAATCTTTCGACCATTTTTCTCTTTTACTCGATCCATCATTTTATTTAACATAGTTTGAAATCCATCCAACACGTCTGGTATGAATTGCACTTAGATGTTTTCATCACCAACATTCTATTTAGCAGTTGGTACTCGACTTCGTCTTGTCATAATTTTGAGAACCTCTATATGTTAATTTTCAAAATAATAAGTAACATTTGATATCTAGCACATATAATCTTAAGTCTTAACCCTTCATAGAGCACTACAAATTAAAGTATGAATACTAAACTAAGCACCTAATTCACTTAAACTAATATTAAACTAATATTTCTGATACCTTTTGAATCACCCCTCGTATTGGCTAGAATTTATGAGCATTTAAAAAACAACCTAAATCCTTTTAGTGGTGAATGTCAACTTAAGTGTAGGATAGTGCACGATTTATATCCAAAGAAGAGTTAAGTTTTAACCACTACATAAGTTTTGGTATTCTAAATGTTCAAGCAATCTTCAACTATCAATCTTCTTAATTTTATATTTTGGATACATGTCAAAATAATAATGTTAGGAGTCAGAGGCCCAATGAGTAAACCCGAGCCATGCACCTCTTCAATCTCAGTGCTCAAGCATAAGGGTGGTGTGGTGGACCCGAGGCATGCTAGAGCTCCACGTAGACCATCAAGGGGAATCAGGCCTTGTATGCTATCTTTTTGTCATTTAAAGTCGAGTAAATTGCATGAATGCTCCCTATGGTTTGAGGTAATTTGCACGTTTTGTTCCTAACTTATTATTATTATTTTTTAAACTCGGAATGTCCCTACAGTTTATTTTTGTTGCCCGTTTGGTCTTAGTCTTACCTGACTATTTTGCCATTTATTTTTTAATTTATTCAATAGTAAATTACTGAAATCGTCCATGTGGTTTGGTCAAAATTGCACGTTTGGTCCCTAACTTTTTTTTTTGCACTCGGATCGTCCCTGTGGTTTATTTTGTTGCGTTTTTCGTCCATATGGTTTAGTAAAAGTTGCATGTTTGGTCCATAACTTTATGTATGTAAGGGACGAAAAATACAATAAAATCAAACCACATGGACGAAAAACGCAACAAAATCAAACCATAGGGACGATCCGAGGGCAAAAAAAAAGTTAGGGACCAAACGTGCAATTTTGACCAAACCACATGGACGATTTCAGTAATTTACTCTTTATTCAAATAAGGTGAGGTAGGTAAAGTGAGGTTTGAGGTGTGTTTATTTAAATAAATTAAAAATCAAGGGTAAAATAGTCTTTTGAGGTAAAGTAGAGACCAAACGCACAACAAAAAACAAACAATATGAATTTTCCAAGTTAAAAAAATAAATCATAAACCAAATATACAAATTACTCCAAACCATATGGATCATTCGTGTAATTTACTCTTTATAACTTTTAAATTTTGTTCATCAATTCATTACCTGTAAATTTATAATCAAACGATATGCTGGCATTATGATAGGTTTTGCCATGTACTTTGCAAGAAGTTGTCAAAATAATTTTTCTTTTGTAATAATATTATAATAATTTCCACATGGTAAAAAGTTATAATAATTTCTAGAGCTTTCAAGAAGGAAAAAGAATCTGGTTAATTCTATATATTTTTAGGTGTGACAGACTTGGCTTTTCTTGAATTCTTTTGAATAGAAAATATAAACATTTCCTCATCTTAGACCAGATACACTTCACCCTAAAAGGTCAAAAGAAAATTCTAATGATGGACTTAATTGCAATTATCTTCAAGAACCAGAGGTTTCGGGTTGAATTTTGTTACGTGGGATTAGTATCTTTTTATGACGTATTAAGATTGTTTGTGAAAACGTGTTGTGTTTCATTTAAGTGTACAATAATAGTATAGTTTGTAATTTTTATGGATTTAGTCGTTGAAAAACAATACCATTATTACCATCTAAAAGTCAAAATAATACATAAATAGTTAAATACATAAGTACAATATATACACTTTACTATTCAAAATGGCCCATATAGACCCTTAAATAAATATAGTTTAAAATATAAACATGTAACTATAGTTTAAGTGCGTTTTAAAGGGTTATTAACGTAATTTAACTCAAGTTGGATACACTTGTAATCAGATTGTATTAGCAAATGTATCATGTGTGACCGACTTTGATCCATTAAATTCATAGCCTGTGGGCTATGCGATATGGGCAGATTATTTAAGTTGGGCTCAAAATCAAATTGTCATCTACTAATCGTAACGCGAAGACAAGAACGGGAGAGAATGACCCGACCCGACCCGACCCGAACAAATATTTCGAATTTTCTATCCGAAAATAAACCTCCAAACCTCTGCTGAAGTTGGCCATGGAGAAAATGGGAAATGCGAGCCAAAGTGTTCGTGTGTGTTTCATAACCACGAATCTGCGAAAAAATCGCGACAAGAGAGAGAAGACCCGACTTCACAGGGGAGTTATTGAACAATGTCACTTCCACAAACAAAGAGACTCCGAAGAGACGGAAGTGGTAAGAGACAGACAGACAGAGAATATTGGGGGAGAAATGGAAAAGGAACATGGAGAAATTACGAAGATCTAACAAGGAAGAAATAAAGAGAAAATCATCCAGATAAATATATCAACAAAATGCCGGAAAATTTTCTGTTATTGCAATGCAGATCAACCAGGATCACCAAAATTGGGCATGAGTGATCCAGGGGAGGTCCACGACGAAGGGAGCACTGATTATCTGTGAAAAATAAGAAGAATATAGACATTTCCTTCGAAATTAAGGGTTTCATTGAAGTTTCACAATGGTAGGTGGATTACGTTTCATTTATCAATGCTGCAATAGATTTTCATTCAAAACATCATGAAATCTCGATCACTAACACTTTCGTTGCGTTATTACGCTCCAAAATAGAGATACAGATTTGGTTTATGATATTAATATATATGACATTGTCATGCAAGTTTGATAGGATCTTTTTTGGAATTTCAATACCAACATTGTTCTGCCTGTGATACTTGTAATAATGCATAATGTAATCAGCAAGTATTGTAGAAAATCTTCAAGTCAATATTAGTTTAGAAGTTGAACAGATATGATATCCAGAGACAAAGTATTGCATCCTTTGCTAGTTTTTCAATTCAAATGTACTGACTGATTTGTATGCACTACAGCGTACTGCAGTGAATATAATAGTAGGCTCTCATGTTTGGGCTGAAGATCCAGCACAAGCATGGATTGATGGGCAGGTTGTCAAGATTAAAGGGAAAGATGTGGAGATTCAGACTAGTGAAGGGAAAACGGTTATTTTTCTACTAAAACCGGACTTTTTTATATAAAAAAATGTACATGTAGCAGCATGAGATTAATTTTACGGGTTCTTTTTCAGATTGTTGCTAATCTATCAAAAATATATCCGATGGATTTGGAAGCTCCTGCTGGTGGAGTTGATGATATGACGAAGCTATCTTATCTACATGAGCCAGGAGTCTTGCAGAACCTAAGAACCAGATATGAACTTAATGAAATTTATGTAGGTCTTCATCCAATTTTATGGTTTATTGATCTATAACTGCAAGAAATGGATTCTAACTTTATGGAATCATGACAGACCTACACTGGAAACATTCTAATTGCAATCAACCCATTCCAGAAGCTACCTCATTTGTATGATGCTCATATGATGCAACAATACAAGGGAGCACCATTTGGAGAATTGAGTCCCCATGTATTTGCAATTGCAGATACCTCTTACAGGTAATGGTAAGTAACACCCTTTTCTTCTTGGATGCATGGGTGCTCACCACATCTTTACTGGATTCCAGGGCCATGGTCCATGAAGGAAAGAGCAATTCCATTCTGGTGAGTGGTGAAAGTGGAGCAGGTAAAACAGAGACAACCAAAATGCTTATGCGGTTCCTTGCGTATTTGGGTGGGAGGAAAGCTACTGAAGGTCGCACCGTTGAACAGCAAGTCCTTGAAGTATGATACATGACGTATAGTTCTTTAGAGAACCTCTTAATTATTCTATATTATGTGTCACTTCATGGCTATATACTGATAAACTTGTTGTGTCACTGCAGTCAAATCCTGTTCTTGAAGCATTTGGGAATGCCAAAACTGTTAGAAATAACAATTCAAGTCGTTTTGGTAAGTTTGTTGAGATCCAGTTTGATAAGCATGGGAGAATATCTGGAGCAGCTATAAGGACTTACCTTTTGGAAAGATCTCGTGTTTGCCAAGTCAATGATCCCGAGAGAAACTATCACTGTTTTTACCTTCTTTGTGCTGCACCACCAGAGGTATAAATATAATATAACAATTTCACTTTCAGTATTTTACAAAACTGAAACCTTTTTTCTTAACTTTTCTTCCTTATTGCTTGTGCTTTCAGGAAGTTGAGAAGTATAAGTTGGGAAGCCCACAGTCTTTTCACTATCTTAACCAATCAAAATGCTTTGAGCTAGTCGGTGTGAATGATGGACTTGAGTATCTTGCCACAAGAAGAGCCATGGATATTGTTGGAATAAGTAAACAGGAGCAGGTATAGTATAGCTTCTGTAATTTTGTTTTCCTTCCAGTTGATTCTTCATCCAAAGAATCTGTGAGCAACAAGTGGCTGCAGAAACATACTTAACCTCACATGTTGACAACAACCTGTGGTGTTTTTATTGTTTACCTTACACACTGCATGATTGATATGTGGTGCTTTTCTTGTCTAGCTTTAGACCCTGCATGATCTGCATCTTTCAATGCAATGATAAAGAAGAGCATGATCCATGGGCGTTGGTGTAATTTTGTCTTGTTTTCTGATAGGAAGCAATTTTCAGAGTTACTGCTGCTATTCTTCATTTAGGCAATATTGCCTTTGCTAAAGGGAAAGAGGTTGATTCTTCGGTGCTAAAAGATGACAAAGCTAAATTTCATCTTAAGATGACAGCAGAACTTCTAAAGTAGGTCTATTTTTTGAATTTTTAATGATTTGGAAGTCCTTTATTGCTCATAAATTTTTGTGTCAGGTGTGATCCTGTTGGCTTGCAAGATGCATTGTGCAAACGTGTGATGATTACTCCTGAAGAAGTTATCAAAAGAAGTCTTGATCCATTAAGTGCTGCATTCAGCAGAGATGGTTTGGCTAAAACAATATATTCAAGATTATTTGATTGGTAATTTTGCAGCTTTCATATAAGAACCATATTGAATAAACTTCTAGTATCTAAGAATTAGGATCCCTTTTTCATTATTTGCAGGTTGGTGGATAAAATTAATAAATCAATTGGACAAGATCCTAACTCAAAATGTCTGATTGGCGTTCTGGACATCTATGGTTTTGAGAGCTTTAAGAACAACAGGTGGCAACCAGGCACATGTCGTATTCCCTCCATTTCAAATAAAGCATTATCATTTTGACTTTGAAAAGTCACATATTGTTATTTTTGTCTCAATTTCATCATACACACAGCTTTGAGCAGTTTTGCATCAACTTTACAAATGAGAAGCTGCAGCAACATTTCAACCAGGTTACTATCTAAACTTTCTTAATCACTGTTAGCATGAGTTGTTGTTAATGTTAAGGACTCCCAAAAAAAATTAATGTTTGAATTACAGCATGTCTTTAAAATGGAGCAAGAAGAATACAAAAAAGAGGCTATCAACTGGAGCTACATTGAATTTGTTGATAACCAAGATGTTCTAGATCTCATTGAAAAGGTATAGTCACTTTCAACTGCATTTATTTATATTTCCCATCATTTCAACCATATAACACTGAAGTTGTATGTATATTGCAGAAACCTGGTGGTATCATTGCTCTTCTTGATGAAGCTTGGTATAACAATAGTATTAATTATCAGCTAAGTGCAGATTTAAGATGTCTTTATTCACAATTTTTTATTTTTCTACTTTTAGTATGTTCCCAAAGTCAACACATGAGACATTCGCAAATAAGCTTTATCAGACTTTCAAAAACCACAAACGATTTATCAAGCCCAAGTTGTCACGCACAGATTTCACAGTTGCTCATTATGCTGGAGAGGTATGTATTTCTTACCTATAACACTATTCTCCTGATTTTTTTTTATAAAATTTTTGACTGCTTTTTATAGGTGCAATATCAATCTGATCAATTTCTTGACAAAAATAAAGATTACGTGGTCCCCGAACACCAAGATTTGTTGGGTGCTTCCAAGTGTCCTTTTGTAGCCGGCCTTTTCCCTGCTTTAGAAGAGTCTTCCAAATCTTCTAAATTTTCTTCAATATGTTCCCGTTTCAAGGTAGGTATCTTTAATTCTTTATCTCAATTCTCAATGATTTTGATATTGTTTGCTAATGTGTAAGTAACTATATATATATGGTAATAATGCACAGCTTCAATTGCAACAACTGATGGAGACACTTAATGCTACAGAGCCTCACTATGTTAGATGCGTGAAACCAAATAATAAACTAAAACCTTCCATATTTGAGAACCTTAACATCTTGCAACAATTGCGATGTGGTGTGAGTATATAAATTTGTTTTATCTTTAATTTTAAGTTGGTTTTATTCATAGCCATGCATATTTCTTGTATGTGACTGATTTCTCTCGTAGGGTGTTTTAGAGGCAATCAGAATCAGTTGTGCTGGTTATCCCACCCGGCGTGCTTTCTTTGAGTTTATAAACAGATTTGGACTTCTTGCCCCAGAAGCCTTGGCTGGATTGGCGGGAAGGTAAAAATTTTATTTCACACACACACACACACACACACTTGTTGCACAAGATTTGGACTTCTGAATCTCTCTTTTTGGTGTTTCATCTCTTGCACAATACAGTAGCTTTGATGAAAAGATGGTATGTCAAAAGATCTTGGAAAAGATGGGGCTGAGTGGGTTTCAGGTTATTAAAATTTTTATTTACTTTGAGTTTATAAAGAATGAATAATCCCGTTGTTTTTGTATATAACACTACTAGGATTGTTTTATACAGATTGGGAAAACAAAGGTGTTCCTGAGGGCTGGACAGATGGCAGAACTAGATGCAAGGAGAGCTGAGGTCCTTGGCAGTGCAGCAGCAATTATTCAAAGGCGGATACGAACTCATATTGCTCATCGCCAGATCAACGCATTGCGAAATTCTTCAATCTTTTTACAAGCTTTCTGTAGACGTGAGCCTCTCACATCACATGATCAATTGAACTTGTTTCTTCAAACTATAAAACACAATACACGACACATTATTAATAAGTAATAACTGTTTACACTTTTAGGTAGTCTGGCTTGCAGAAAGTTTGATCAACTGAAGAGAATTGCAGCTGCTATAAAAATTGAAAAACACGTGCGTAAATGGCGTGCTTGGGTGGCTTATACTAGGCTCCGTGTGTCAGTGCTTGCAGTTCAGACATGTGTACGCGCAGTAGAGGCGCGTAAAAGATTCCGATTCCGCAAGGAAACTAATGCTGCTATCAAAATTCAGGTTACTTTTATAATTTTATAAAAACTCTTTTTTTATTATACTTATACCAACAGAGGAATTCTAATTGTGTTTTTTATTTATTTATAGACTCGGTGGCGTTGTCATAAACATTCTGCATACTATAAAAGGCTAAAGAAAGGATCTTTAGTTACTCAATGTAGATGGAGGGGAAGGATTGCTAGGAGAGAGCTACGAAAACTTAAAATGGTCAGTTATCTATTTATTTATTTAAAATCATATTCATGATGGATGTTACATTCTTTTTAGGGCAGATTAAAAGTTGCTAGCTTTATCTGTTTTGCAGGCTGCACAAGAAACAGGTGCACTTAAAGAAGCAAAAGATAAGCTTGAGAAACAGTTGGAGGAACTAACATGGCGTTTACAGCTTGAGAAACGTTTAAGGGTAATTTATTTCAACTATACAAGTTTTGTTGGAAAAGTTTATGTAATTGTAATGTGATATGTCCTACATGTCTAGACTGATTTGGAAGAAGCAAAAGCACAAGAGGCACTGAAATTTCAGAATTCTCTAGAAGCTATGCAAAAGAAACTTGATGAAGCAAATGCATTGGCTGTAAAGGAAAGAGAGGCAGCTAAAAAAGCTATTGATGAAGCGCCTGCGGTTGTTGAAGAAAAAGAGATTGTTATTGAAGATACTAAGAAAATTGAATCCTTGACTGCTGAGGTGGATGAGTTGAAGGTAAGTAAGACTTACCATACAAACGGAATTTTTTTTTTTTTTATCGTGGGGACCACATTAAGTAGTTTTTTTTTTGGGCCATGTAGGCAAAGTGGGAGTCAGAAAAGAAACGTGCTGATGAGCTGGAAGAATGTAGTGAAGGAAGACGTAAGAAGTTGGAAGAAACAGAAAAGAAAGTCGTTCAGTTACAGGAAACTATGAGCAGATTGGAAGAGAAACTAAACAACTTGGAATCAGAGAATAAAGTCTTCCGCCAACAAGCTGTGTCCATGGCACCTAATAAGTTTCTCTCAGGGCGTTCCAGATCTATTATGCAGGTATTTTATATATATATATATATATATATATATATATATATATATATATATATATATATATATTAAGACACTAACCCTTTACCTATTTGCCCTTCTTTTTTCCTCCCAACTTGTCTCATGTCAAAATTGATGAATATTGAGAAATTTGTTCTTTTGAAATGCAACAATAAAATGGTCATCTACTCTCATTCAGATGGTGCATTCAATCTAGAAAAGAAACATACTTTATGTATACAACACTTTATTTGCTTAGCCACTTTCATCCACGCAGACTCTGTCCTATGAAAAATGTATCCATTAAAGCATTTCAAATTTTTTCGTGTTAGAATAATATATTTTGAAAAATCTAGTCAATCATAGCAGTGAAAATTGTTGTATTAGATTTTTCAAAGTACAATGCTGAAATAGGAAAAAAAAAAAAAAGGTGATTGTTTGATATCCAACTCCTTGCAGAGGAACGACAGTGGTACTTTTATTGGAGAATCAAGGTCATCATCTCAGGTATCCTGAATCTTGAACTTGATGCTTTTTTTAAAAAATTTAATCATCTATAAATAAGTAACGTGTTTGTGTTGTTTATGTATCAGGATCCGCATAGCCCTTCAATGCACCAAAGAGATCTAGCAGAAATAGACGACACACCACAAAAATCACTGAATGAAAAACAAATGGAGAATCAAGAACTACTTATCCGATGCATTGCACAACATCTAGGGTTTGCAGGGAATCGACCAATCGCAGCCTGCATCATTTACAAATGCCTTCTTCAATGGAGATCTTTTGAAGTGGAACGCACTACTGTTTTTGACCGAATTATCCAGACCATAGGCAATGCCATAGAGGTACTTAGTACTTAAATGCTACTCTTTTTTTCACTTCGTTTTAATAATTATAATAATTATTTTTTTCTAACTTTTTTTTTTCCGTTTATTTAATAGAAAAAACAGGATAATAACGATATATTGGCATACTGGTTATCGAATGCCTCTACTCTTTTGCTTCTTCTTCAGCGAACATTGAAACCGAGTGGGTCAGCATCTGGAATGGCTCCACAACGTCGTCGATCATCAGCTGCTCTTTTTGGGAGGATGACTTCTGTAATGGTTAAGTATTTTTGGAATTTGATTCAACATATATATATATATATATATATATATATATATATATATATATATATAATATGTATATACTAAAATTAAAATTTGATTTTATGGTTAGAGTTTCCGTGGGACCCCTCAAGGAATCGAACTTCCTTCCTTTGTGAATGGAGATCTGAGTAGTGGAGTTGAAGGTGGTTATACCAAAGTGGAAGCCAAGTATCCAGCTTTGCTTTTTAAGCAGCAGTTAACAGCTTATGTTGAAAAGATTTATGGAACAATTCGAGATAATTTGAAAAAGGAAATATCTCCGTTACTCGGGATGTGTATTCAGGTAGCTAATTTCTCATTCTCATCATTTTTACTTAATTTCATGTTGAGTAATTAGGAAATAGGAATGGACTAAATGGTAATTTCACAATTCACACTCAAGGCACCGAGAATTTCGAGAGCCAGCCTGGCAAAGGGATCATCGCGTTCGGTTTCCAGTTCAGCTCAACAGACACTGATTGCTCATTGGCAAGGAATCGTCAAGAGTCTTGGAAGTTTCTTGAATGTTCTAAAAACAAATCATGTTAGTGCCATTTTTGTTTTTTTGTTAATTTTGTGTTTCTTTCCCTGTTTTTAACCTTTTTGTGAAATGTTTTTAGGTTCCACCGGTTTTGGTGCGTAAAGTTTTCTCACAAATATTTTCGTTTGTGAATGTTCAGCTATTTAACAGGTATATATTTATTTTTTATAGAGTGTGTTCTTTTGTGATGTGATTCTTTTTTTTCTTTTTTTTATAAAATGCAGTCTACTTTTGAGACGTGAGTGCTGTTCGTTTAGCAATGGTGAGTATGTGAAAGCGGGATTGGCTGAACTAGACCACTGGTGTTTTAACGCAACTGATGAGGTAATTCTGGAGTGATATTTTCTTTCATTGGAATGGAATTAACGATTCCATTATGCCAAACACTATTTTGTATTCTTATTTGCTAAACAAAAGGACTGCAGTATTCAGGTTCTGCTTGGGATGAACTGAAGCATATACGGCAAGCTATAGCATTTCTGGTAAAGTTTCTTTTATTATATAAAAATTTAGGCTTTCTGGTTTTGAAGATTTTATTTTAATCAATCTCATTCAGGTTATACATCAAAAGCCAAAGAAAACACTGGATGAAATAAGTCATGACCTCTGCCCAGTGAGTCATGTTTATGTTTTTATTAGTTTACAATAACAATAAAATTTTATGTAATTTATATTATATATATTTAATTATGGTCCACAGGTTCTTAGTGTACAGCAGCTGTACCGGATCAGTACAATGTACTGGGATGACAAGTATGGGACACAAAGCGTCTCCCCAGATGTAAGTTTCATAATAAGATCAGATTGTTTTTTTTTTATATAAATTATTTAACTTTGATGCATGGGTCAGGTTATATCCAACATGAGATCATTGATGACTGAAGAAAACACTGTTGTAAGCAATTCTTTCCTATTGGATGACGATTCCAGGTTAGTTCTAGTTGCTTTCGTGTTGACCCAAGCATTTGACTAGTACTGAAATGTCCAAAATACCCTTTGATAATATATGTTTTAACACAAATTGATTTTATGCAGCATCCCATTTTCGGTTGATGATATATCGAGATCAATGGATAATATAGAGATATCGGACATTGAGCCTCCACCTCTAATTCGCGAGAACTCAGGATTTAGCTTTCTGTTGCCACGTATCGAGAGCCACTGACCCAAGATGTTTTCCGGTCAGGATAATCAACCCGTGAGAAGGAAAAAAAAAAAAAAAAAAAAAAAAAAAACATGAACTGTATTATTTTCCCATGTTTTTGTAGCTTTTATATATATATACTAGCATGTTGTACAAATAGACATTTTTCATTTATTGACATCAGTCATAATGCCTGGCAAACACAATTTAAGTTAGAAAATTGTCCTCTCAACTTATCTCATAAATTCTATAACAATGGAATACAAAAAAATATATTAAGAAAAAGAAACAACACTTGCAAAATTGAGAGAGATGATGACTACTAAACCACTAAAAACTCAGCACCTATTGGCAAGTGATCACTAGGATGAAAATAATTTGGCAATCCACCTTTTACATCTGCTGACTCAGCTTCCGGAAGCTCAAGGAAACTAACAGGTTCAATTTGAATCCCCTCATCAGAAGGTGAGAAAAATATATAATCAAGTGTACCAGTGAATCCAGGGGTATAATTGGTAAATCGCGGTTCACCCCTTGTACATGCATAAACACTTGATAAATTAATTGGTGGTTCATCTTCTAAACATTCCACTGAGCCACTAGAAACAAGATACTGGTACACCTGTACACAATTCCCAATCAATAATAAAACCTACATGTCTCTTGAATTTTCAATGTAAATTCATTGAAATATAAATACCTTGTCTCCAGGAATGGAATTGAAATCCCCAGTAATGATTACTGATGGTTTGCACTCAAATTTTTCAGATACCATTTTTTTAAATTTTGCTACTTGTGATAATAAATATTTCGCCTGTGCAAGCTTCACATCTGCCCATTCTGGATCCCTACAGAATTCAAAATTTCAGATAAAAAATAATCTTCAGACAACAAAACACAAGGGCAAAACTGGAATTATAAGTAAAAAAATTACCAGTAAAGATGTGTGTTTGCTACAATGACATAATGTTGATGAGGTTTTTTAAACTTGAAAGCAGCCATAATTCCAACACAATCACGTTTCAACCGGACATATGGATCATTAGGATCTCCTTTTCCTTTGGAATCAAGGTCCTTCTCCTTTTGTTCCACACGAGATGCTTCATCTAGAAGCAAGTTAGCAAGGTCATTATAGTCAATTGTTTCCTCTATCACCAACTCCAATCTGGACATTTAAACCAACAAAAAAAAAGACATGAATACAATCAATGAATATGCTTTTTACTATGAGAATGAATTACACAGAAAGTTGTATACTTGTTGTGCTTGTAGAAAATCCCACATCCGTCTGATTTCCTACCACTTCTTTTAATGTAGATGCTTGAGTAATCATTTTGCTCTATTTTCTCTTTGTAGAAGGTATCGTATTCATCTAATTCCTGACAACAAAACAATTATTCTACACATAAGAAAAACCAGATGACAGAAATAAATATTACAACAAATGTGTTATGGATATGAAGAAACTAAACCTGTAAGCATAAAATATCAGCATCAAGATGTTTAAGAAGATCAAGAATTATTGGGGAACGAGCTTTCCACCTGTCATAACCAAATTTTATGCATTTTCAGATCATAAAAGAGGTGAACAGTTATCATTCATGATAGCTTCATTTCAAATATGGAGTAATAAAGAGCTCTAAGAAACCAAGAAGATTTACTTGAGGCAAGGTGATGGAGAGTGTGGGAATACAGAACTTTTTACATATACCTGCAGAAAAAGGAAAAAAAAAAAACAAGAAATAATGAATTGGCAAATTAAAGGTGTGTGTGTGTGTGTGTGTGTGCATACCTGAGCCAGAATGTTATATGAAACCACTCGGAATTTGAGGCCTGTAAAAATATCAGATGTGAATTGATATTTAGGTTGACAATACATAGATTTAATTAGATAAAAACTAAGGAGCATGATCTTTTACATACCCTCAGACTTGCTTACTGAAGTAATTTGATTCTGTTCGACTGGGATGAATTTAGGGTAAACTGGTGTAGGTGTAGGCGTGTTCTTAGTGCTCATTTTTCTCATACAAATCTTACTGCATATAACATAACCCACATTTTTATGAACAAACTGCGTATCACATTAAACAGTCATGTGCTACTTAATTCACATCTCACAAATCACAAATGTGTGTGTTTGTGTTTGTGTTTGTGATTGATTCGTAAAATATACACTCGAAATAGCAAAAAGGACAACAAAAATTCAATAGCATACTACTCGTAAATCAGTAACGTAGCAAACACAAGATAAGCATCATAATAACAAAAAATCCGCCGGCGTACCTTGTTCGGAAGGAGGAAGAAACGAGAGGGATGCGAGAAAGCAGTAAACCACCGGATTTCAGAAGCATTTTCCCCCCAGCAGAAGAAGTGATATATAAGTAGAGCTTCCTCACAGGGCAGCCTCCTCCTCTTGCGACTAGCAACCAAGCCAATAAAAGGCCCAAATTACATAATGAGTCCCTCCACTGTTTTCCAATTGAGAATTTAGCTAAGATTAGGTTGCAATTTGGAAGAATTAGAAATAGAAAAAGGGTTAAATTTTTGAGTTTTAGAATTAGAAAAAGGGTTAATCAGTCCCAAATTACATAATCAGTCCCTTATATGGTTAAATTTTTGAGTTTTAGAATAAGAAAAAGGGATTGATTGTTTTCTTTCTGTTTTTATTTTCGAGTTTTTGTTATTATAAATAGGGTTTAAACTGACTTTGGAAAAAAAGTTATTGAAATTTTTTTTTAGGTTTAAAATAGGGTTAGAACATTGGATGTGAGCAACTAGTTATAACACCATTTTAGTGTCACATTATTAATGGTATTATAACATCAAGTGGGGAAATGGTCACCATATTATATCTTGTTATGACACCAACTTTTTTTTTTATCATTTTTTAATTATTTTTTATTTTTTTCGAAATTCTTTTTTTTTTAATTTAAACAAATATTTTTTAAATATAACATAATAAATAAAACATAATGTTTAAAAATTATAAATAACATATAATATTTTTAAAGATTAAAATTAACATATATATTAAATTACACATAACATCCAAATTAAAAAATAAAAATAAAATTAAAAAATAACATCCAGATTCAAAAAAAAAAAAAAAAAAAAAATACAACGCTATTCGTTATCGTTATTGTTACCATAGAAGATATAATCCGCCAAGTTTTCTCGAAGTTGTCTGTGTTTATTTGCGACCTAAATGTCAACAACGCGATGCAAATATTCTGTTGTTCCTGGTTGAAACTGAACGTGTCTGGGCTCCGTTGGGATATAGTGTGCAATATTTCGCCCTTTATCTTCTACTACCATGTTATGCATTATGATACATACATACATGATATATCGTAGAGTTTCTAAATCCAATGGTCGTGTTGTATGTTCGACTATATGTCACTTCGCCTTCAGCACGTTCCACATCCTTACGTGCTCATTATTATCTTCTTTTAAAAAATTTGTCTTGTTCTTCAACCGGGTGGCAAAATGCCTTCACGAATGTGGAATACTGAGGATATATTCCATCTGTAAGGTAATACCCATATTTGTATTCGTTTCCATTCACCGTGAAAGGAGCATCCGGGGCCTTTCCATTCAAAAGATCGTCGAAGAACACATCCCTACTCAAACGAAATTTTCTTTTGAAGTCATTCGCCTTGTATACACAATTATCCGCAAAGTAATCGCGATACAGATGTTCATGTCCTTCCTTGCGATTTGTGTTTAATATCGCACGTCTTGTTAGTAGTGGGGTTGGGTCTGGTTGCAGCAAATCGGTAGTGTAATACTAGTACATCAGCTTGAATAAAATATTGTCATCTGAATCATCGTACGAGTTAAAAGGCTCCATATTGTTTTTGAAGATAATTGAAACTATGTAGAGAGAAGAAAAGAAATTGTGTGAAATTTTTTTATAAAAATGATAGCTATTTATAGGGTAAATGGTTTTTTTATAGTTATTTTTTTTATACCGTTGCAATTAAAACGTTTGCAACGGTCCCATTTTCTGCGTTTCATCTGGTCGTGAAGCCAACGAGATCCAATCTCGACGAGCTGCAACGAGCAAGGGGGGGTGTTCCCCCGTCAAGACGTCGTTGTCAACGGCCACGTCATCTGCGTCGTTTCTCGTTTGGCCTATACCGCATTGTCTTAAGAATGTGTGGTGTCATGGTGGGATGGGGTAGGTGTTGGGGTTTGGGAGGAGAAAAATGTTTCTGAAATCGATAAGCAACTTGGATCTTCTTGAAGAATTGTACGAACATTTTTTAAATATGATATTTTGATCGTATGTTCGGGTTACACGAAATCCAGATTATGAGAATAATCTTTTAAAGAATAATCTCAAATTACCATACTAATAATAATCCCACGAAACTATTGTTTTATAGAATCCATATTATTTTGATTACCAAAAATAAACATCAATCAACATTAAAATGAAAACTTTTTTGAAAAAAAAAAAATAGTCCGCAATCAACTCAAAATCAAACGCAACCTTAGGAAACTATATATATATTTTTTGGAAAAGTTTTCAAAAAAGAAGTGTAGTTTTAATTTCCAACTTTCAATATAATATTTAGAAAACGTAAAACATTCGAGTTTTTATTTTTTCATTTTAAAAAGTGGAAAAACATGTTTGGTTGTGTATTTTCTATTAATTTTTATTTTTTTTATTTTAAATAGGGTTTAAATTGTTTTTGGGAAGAAACTATTGATTTTTTTATTGCCAACAAATCACAAAAGTAAATGTTTTGTAACGAACTATGAGATTTATTTTTCTACCCATGCCAAATTCTGATTTTATATTTTTAGATTATATTTTAAATTTTGTAACAACTTTGATAAAAAAATTATGTTTGGTTATGAAAATGGCTAGAACGTTTTAATTTTACAAATTCACCACAAATTTAGTTTTTTTTAGATATTTAGTTACTTATAACTTTTTAACAACCTTTTTAAAGACTTTTCATAAACTTTTTTTACAATTTCTTTTACAGCTTCATATAATTTCCGTACAACTTAAAAAATATATTTCTAAATGTGAATTTTTTTTAAGAAGATA